ACATCTGAAGCAGCAGCCATTCAGGGACAAGGCAAAAGCATGAGGTATGTTTGCACTGTGTGCTGGAGATGTGCAAGGTGCAGGCTCCCAGGATAGGTAACAAGAGCTGTGAAGATACGGTAGCATAGGTGCCAGCCCACCCTAGCAACCTGAATATGTGCCCAGGGATCTCAGGGGCATATTTCCAGGGGCTCTTCATCCAGATGCTTACTGAGAATCATAGAAAAAATTAGGTTGGAAAGGACTTCTGCAGGACTGTCATGCAGTCTTCTGCTTAATGAAACAAAAGGCTTCTCAAGGCCTCATCTAGCTGGGTTTTGAGTGCCTCCAAGAATAGAAATTGCACACATTTTCTGGGCAACTTTCTCTAGTGCCTGACAACCCTCACTGTGAAGAGTTTTCTTCCTTATGCCTAGCTGGACTGCGTCGCATCTGGTCCCATGGATTTGTATATGTCCAGTTTACCTAAGTGATCCCAGCATCACCCTCTTCAACTGTGGGCAGTACCTCTCTCTTCCAAACTCTGCCATTAGACATGGATGCCTGGGAGCAGACTCTGTCAGTAAAGACTGAGGGAAATCAAACGCTGAAAACCTCAGACTTTTGTGTGTCCTTCATTGTTAGATCACTTGCTCTATTCAGCAGTGGACCTGCATCTTCTTGGTCTTGCTTTTGCTGCTAATGTATCTGTAGAAGCTGTTCCTGTTGCTTTTCACATTGTCACCAGTTATCAGCTCAAGCCCAGCTTTGGCTTTCTTAATCCCATCCCTGCATGCCTGTGTAGTTCTACACTGCTCCTTGACTGCCTGTCCCTGCTTCCCCCCATTACACATTTTATTTTTAGGTTTGAGTTCAGTCAGTAGCTCTGTGTACACCCAAGCTGGCTTCATGCACTGCCTGCTTAGCCTCCTGAATAACAGTATGGACCATTCTTGGGCTTTGAGGAGATGATCCTTGAAGATCATCTAACCCTCTGTGTCCCTTTACTCTTCACAGCAATATCCCAAGGGAAGCTGCTTGCTAGTTCCCTGAACAAGCCGGTCTGCTCTCCTGAACCCAGGGTCATTGCTTTCTCATGATCTTAAATTCTACCACCTCTTGGTCTCTCCAAGGCTGCCATTGACCATCACAACCCCAATCACTTCTTCCTTGTTTTTGAGCAGCGAACCAATCAGAGCATCTCCCTACTCAGCCTGTCCAGCACCTGTGTCAAGAAATTGTCCCTGACCCACTCCAGAAATCTGGATTGCTTGTGCCTACTGTGTTTCCTGACCAGCAGATTTCAGGTCAGTCAGTATACCCTATAAAAGCCAGGGCTTGAAACAGTGACATTTCTTTCACTTGTCTAGAGAAGGCTTCATCTGTTTTGTCTTCTTGTCCAGGTGATCTGTAGCAGATGCCTACCACAATGTTACCTGTGTTGGCCTTCCCTCTGATCCTGGCCCGTAAGCTCCTGACCGTCCCATCACCCAGTCCATAGCAGAACTCCATGCATCTGAGCTGCTCCTCTTTGTGCGGAGCGTAACGCTCTCTCAATCTCACCTTCCTCCTTCTAAAAACAACGTATCCATCCATCACAGCCCTTGAGCTGTTAGAGCTCTTATAGCTTCTAAGTACAAAAGAGCAATGGGTGGGTCAATCCCCTGCCTACCCAGGTCTGCAATACTGTGTCTCCCAATCCAATTAATATAAAGATCTGGGCACTGGCTTGAGATGACTTGCTATGAACACCTAAATTAGATGGTGTACCTTCATCTCTTGATTATTACACTGAAAAATGCTAATAACAGCCTTGGGGCAAGTCTTTAATCCACAATCCCCACACATCCCATTGCAGTCAGAAACATGTCATGCGTACTTCTCCAGGTTCAGTAGAAAGAATAACTATCCTTTCCTAATGCACTGAAAACAGATGAACAATGGAAGCCCTCTGTCAAAGATCTGGTTTCCATGGCAGGACTTCACAAAGTCAGGGACTTCCCTGCTTGCCCAGACGTGGTCATAGTTGATGTGCTTGTGTTGGCTTGATACAGGAGAGAGAAAAGCAAGGAGCCACATAGAGGAGGACCCTTTTGAGGTCAGACCTTGTCAGGACCAGCAGACTTGGGAATGTGTGTCCAAAAACTACTTGTTTGTATTTGTTTCTACTGTATTCAAGGAAAGGGGAAAAGGCTCTGTTTATCCTTCTGTAAATAAATCACAGGGAGAAATACACTACATTTATATTATCAGTGTCTCTTCCAAATAGAAATGCTGTAATAGGTGACGGTGTACTTACAGCCCGTTCTCTGAACCTTTAAATGCTGTCTCTCACGTGGAAGAAGAACTGGGGTAAGAACATCTTCACATTCTGTGAATTGCAGTTTGGTTTCTTTGCTTCAAGCTGTAAAAATCTCACTGCAAAAATTTACAGTTTAGTCTGAGCCACAGGAGCTGTAGCTGGTACATGGTTCTTCCAGTGCAGTTTGTTTACAAGATGAAGGCCTTAGTCCCAGCCAGAGCAGGAACACATATCACCAACATTTGGAAGCCTTGCTTAAGGAAATCCAGACTGACAACCTCTCTTCCTACTGCAAATCACTGCCTAGTCCAATTTCCAGTTTGACTGCTGCTCTCTTTCCCCCAGCACACCTGCAGGTAAAAAGGCATCACAAGTAAGACGCCCGTCCCCAGGTGAGGAGCAAGTGAGGTGATGGTGCCAGCTGTCTGTACAAAGGAACTGCTATTTGTACTCCTTGGCCGGAAGGATGGTTGGTATGTGCAGCTTTGACTTTAAGAAGGCAAGGGAGACAAGCCACAGAAAAAACAGGACCAATAAGAAGCATCTTCAGAGCTCTCAAGGATTCATGGAGTGTTTTGTCTATCTGAGAGGGGAAGGAATATGGACTAAAAATTATTTCCCCCCTGCCCCAACAGAGAGGGGACAGGTAACATGATGGCATCTTTCACCACTGCAGCACCCAGTGAGTCCCCACTTGGTTAGTAATAACAAAAAGCTGCATTCCTGAACGCATATAGGAGTATTAGTCCCCTGGTCTCACTGGAGCTTAACACTACTAAAATGCCTGTATGAGTCCAAGCAAAAATGGACAAAACCTATTATTTGCTGACAAAATGCTGCTTTTAGCCTGTCTCTCTCATGCAGAAAAATGGGTAGGGTCAGACTGCCTTGGTTTTCCATGTACATCAGGCACTGGCCCCTGACAGGACAAGAAGAACAGGACTGAACCAGAGGGACCAGAGACAAGGAACCCACAAGACCTCCAGGTGCTGCCATGCCAGCTCATGGAACTTGCTGAGCCCTGTAGCCCTGCTACTACGTGGGTGCTGCCTTCATAGGTTACTGCTCCAAACCCACCTGCCACACGAGTAGAATGGGCTTGATCTTAATTTGCTTCTTTCCATACCTCAAGACACCCAACTACACATTATGGTCAACCCAGATGTAGATGGCTCCCCTTGATACACTGCCATCTCTCTCCCAGCTGCAAAGCCTGAAATCCCCAAGGACAGAGTTTCCTTAATTAATCATCAGGCAGATTTTTTTTTTTTCTCTGTGTCTTTTTCCATTTCTGAGTTGCAACACCTCCTGCCAACTTTCTGCTTGGCGGGAATTTCTACAACAGAGCAATATAACTTCTGAAAATAGACACTTACACTGGAAGCCTGACACACCCTATATGGAGCCTATGAGTGGCAGAACCATAATCAAAAGCCAGTCAAGACACTAGCAGCATTAAATTAAGGATTGGAGCAAAGCAGCCCTAAGAGAAGAAAGTAAATGGGAACTCTATAAATGCTGTTGCACAGAACCCCCCAGGCTCTTTTCATCACTGAGGGGCGTTGGAGTTTGTACCCTTACTGGTAACCATAGCTCAGGCAAGTTCTTCCAATACAGCTGGCACGTTCAGAACCCCTTTAAAAATAAAAATTCATGGAAATGGCCAACCTGCCATGATCTCCTGATATGAAGCTGCATGCAAAGTCTATAGGAAAAAAGCTAGTAGTTGTATGATACAAGTCTGAGCTCTGCCTGTCATTAACAAGGGTGGGTTTTTCAGGGTAAAATTCTCCTGGGCCAAATAACAGGAGACTGATAAATAAAGCTTGTCAACTGCCCTTTCTGACTCACTCTCTCCTGCTGGAAAGATGACTCACCGTCATGTGTGAAAGGCTGCCAGGTCTTACTTACATGCTTAAACAAGCATGGGTTGTCTGTGTTAGACATACATTACCTCAGAAGAAGCAGACACTTAACGCTGAGAAGGCAGCCCTGGAAAGGACTCTGCTGACTAAAGGATCTGAACTTCAAGGTATTTCTCAATCCATTCTGGAAAGTTCAAGGTTGTTGTTAGATTACCACAGAAAACTTAGACCCAAAGCCATGGCTGAGGGCTTGGCTGACGATCACAGTGTTTTAAACCAGGGCTCACTGGGAACTAGGAACATCAGATTTTACCCAGGTAACTCCTGCAGAGTGAGCCAAACAGCATGTTCTAGGTGCAGACAGAAGTAACTGAGACCATGCCTGGTCCGGAGCTGCCTTTTGTCCAAGGAAAACAGTGTGCCAAAAGCAGTCACTTGTTGCTCACTCTTTCATGGTAAGAAAGTAGCCCCATGGAGCTGCTCTGCTTAAGGAGACTGTGAGGAACCTGCCTTGAATCTGGAAAGGGGCAAACGCAACATGGTGAACATCATCCTTCAGTTCCAGGAGCTCAACTGCTTCTGAGCGACACCAGTAGCTGCTCTGCACTTCCTCCTCTCTGCAGTGACACAGACCTTGCAGGTAAGCGACAGTGCACAAAAAGCTCATTCACATCCCGGAGCTTTGCTGCCTACGTGAGCGCATGCTCCACCCTTTGGTCTTCTCCTGTCATCCTGGGCCCACCACAGGCCAAGTGTGCAACTCCGTGAAATCTCTGCCCCAGGCACTGCAGGGACTGTTCACAAATCCCAGTAATAGCACATACCACGTCTACACTGCCCTGCAGCACTGGTGTGGCTTTCTAAGGCCCCATACAATACTTGTTTGCTTGGACATGACAAAGCAAGGCGCTTTTGCAAGGACTAGTGTACTGGGATGTCAGTCCACAGATCAGAGCATCACAGCTAGAGAGACAAAGCTGTACCCATCCTTTAGGATGTAGAGGACTCCTAATGCAGGAACTGGAAGGTTTGTCCCAAGACCATGAGAAGGAAGCTGTGCTGTAGCTCAGCTCCAGGTATTAGCCAACATCTTGCTGCATCATTCAGTAGGGAAACCATGCTGCTGCAGGGCAATGATACCACAACTGCCTCTTGCGTGTTCAGCCAGGTATGCACCATCCAGAAGTTGTCCATGCAGCCAGGACAGTTGCACATGCTTTGGCCCAGACAGGCTCTCTGCAACTAAAGCACCATCTCAAGGTCTCATCACCATTTTTCAGACCATATAAGCACTAACTTGTCTGCCCAAGATGAATATATAACCTAGAAATGTTAATTTTTAATAAAGAGTGTACCATTCCATGTCACATATATGAGGAAGATATAGCGGTCTCATACACAATTCTAAATATATCTTTTATATTTCTTCTCCTTTGGGAGAGAATATGTGTTTTCCATCCCACAAAATTTCTAAGAGGTTATTTTTAAATATTTTTGCTCTATACCAAAACAGATGTCTAATGAAAAGCTTGAAAGAGAAACTGCAGGCCACAACAGCCTCATCCAATGGTAAAAGGACTCACCTGATACATGGAAAACAAGCCTAGGCCACAACGCTACATAGGTGTAAATATAACATGTGCCACTCTAAGTGAAGAGACTAAATAACAGCTGTGAATCTGCAATTCAAGTGTCTGTCTCAATAAGGCAGTGCAGGGCCATCCCACGTAAGTGATCTAGTCCCCGGACTACTGCTTACTCCAGAAGTAGTAAATTTCTCATCACAATTGTGCTGCAAAATTTCATCCTTTTAAAAACTGGAAAGGAAAAAAGTATTATTTTAACCAGCATAGATATTTTTGCTGAAAAACTTCCAAATCAGCACTAACATGTCAATTTTCTCCTCTTAACAGTGATGAAAACATTACCTCTCTGGTTTTGTTCCACTGTTTAATCATCCATTGTTTTTCCACTGATTCTTATTGACTATGACAAAGTTGGGATTTCATCCTAAATTTTCCTCCTGATGCTAATGATTAGTATGTACAGATAGTCTTATAGGTAAAATGATACCATTTCTTACCATGAATTCTTTTTGTTTCAAGATACTGACATCCCAACTGCTTATTTTAAGTTTGAACATCTAAGATCTGCTTTCATAATCATGTAAAATCAATGATAAAAATAAATATATATATTTATATCATTAAAAAGATAAAATGAAATGAGGACCTGGTAGATATTTTAAATAACAGCATTTCTCTTTGCTATGTTTATTTCACAATGAGTCATAAATTAGGCTAGCTATATCTGAGAACAAAATGAGAGATGATGGAAATAAAAAAAATGTGAACACAATATGTTAAAGATTCCAGAGTAACTCTCTTCAAAAGCAAAATTTCAGCAACTTTTAGACTGTAGTAAGCCATGTCTCCTGGTTGCTTTGCTAATCCTTTAGAAAATGAGAGTTGACACAAATAATCACATTCATCTGCAGGTGTCAAAGCACTTCCCAAAATAAGTCAGTAAAATAATCTGCTCAGAAATGGTGCAATGAAGGCATTAAGATGAAGGAGGAATTGTTAGTGACAGAACCAGGAATTACAGTCCAGGTCTCCAGTCACCCAGTCAGGGCCGTTGTGTGCTACATCACCCCACCTCTGACAAATGAGTTAGGCTTCTTAAGCTGCAATTTCAGAGTGATTTACTTAGCAGTGTGAAACTGTGCCACCCAACACAGATACCACTTCTGCTAGTTGCTTACAGTCACCTTCTGCCATGCTCTTGAGAGCACAATGCTCTGACTACTAACCCTGTTCGGGGGCTTCTCAGAGGTGGCAAACTGAGATCATTTGTCAGGATGGAGAAACCACTCCTTACTCGTTCTTGTTCCTCCTCTTCTTCCTCCTCCTCCTCCTCCATCGTCCCATCAGGCATAAAAGATTTTAACTCACTACAATGAGTACCAGTGATGCCAACCCTGTTAAAAAACATCATGTAAATCTGCTTGACACAACAAAGCAAAGGAAAACAGGAAGAAGGGGGACAGATTTGTAGTGTTTCCCAGGCAAACCAGCAAGGAACCTTGCCTTCTTTAGCAGAGAATATCTGCTGTCCTCCAGGATAAAACAAATAGCCATGCTTATACCCTCAGCACCTTGCACACCACATCATGTTTCTGGCTGGAGTGTGCATGCACACAACGTGAATTGCATACGTCCAAGGGAAGCTCAGCGCTCCCTGGAAAGTTTGGCCCTGTTGCATACAAATTAGATGACTCTGCATAAGCTATAAAGCCAAGATGTTTGGGATGCACCCAGCTTCCAAGGCATGCACAAAACAATTACATGTGCATTTGTAGCAAATTTCACACTTTCAGAAATATCAGACTTGCTGGTCACGTGTTGTAGGTATGTCCAAAGATTTTGCACGTACAGTGCTGTAGCATTCATTAGATTAGCAGAACTCTGAAGATCCAATACAAATGAAGGTCATTCTCAAATTCTAATTTCCAGGCAGAAAAAAGAAGACTTATGAGGGAAAGTCTTACATACACTTCAGCACAGCAAAACTGATTTACAGTGGTTGTGTTTAAATGAGTTATTACATTAAAAAGTACTGTAGTGATACTGCTGTTAACCATGGCTGGATGGGAAATGGAATTCCTCTCATGTGGTGTACCCAGACTTGAAATATTTTGGGGTTTATGATGAATCAGAAGAAAAGGTTCTATTTCTATTACAACCAAAATTATATTTTAAAAGTACAATGTAGTAACAAAATTACTTTTCCAGAATAAATTACATCAGAAATGTCTGATCAGAATACTATTAAAAACTAAAAGTCAAGAAGAAATAAGAAGTTGGAATGAATCATGAGAGGGAAAATAATAAACATCCCATTTTGATTTTGAGAGGTTTTGATTAATTTCTGTTCAAATTTATGTTAAAGCATATTTCCTTTCCCCAGAAAAGTTGAGTTTTAACAAAGCACTACGATGGACAGTAGCTGCTTTGCTATCAGTTATCCAAGAGTACCACCTCTGTCAGGTCTCCCAGGACCACCTCCTGTTCCTCTCTAACAAATCCTCAGTCCAATGGCTCTTCTCCCGGTGAGGAAGACCTAGCTGTCTGACATCCTTCCTCGTAGCACTACCAAACCTATTTATGCAGAAAAATATTCCCTTACTTGGTAGCGAACAACTCAGAGAAGCCCGGCAGGCCATCACACATGCAAGGTTGAGGGTCTCTGCCCCGACAGTAGTGGTTCTGGGACAGATATTGAGTACTGTCCTTCGGTAAGGGCAGCAGCATACTGAGCACTGGTGAGCACTGGTGAACCATGCTGTTTATGGAACGATGCTTGGCGTGGACTTTTCTTTCAAGAAAACAAATGCAGGTGTTACCTCAGATGGGTCAGGTTCCCTAAGGATTCACCAGTATGTCAAATGTGTACCTCGGACACGGCAATCGCACTGTATTTGCATGAGCAGTCCGGCCTCGCAGTTTCTGCAAGTCAACATTGTTCCTGTCTCTTCAGGCAGGATTGAACACATCAGAGCAAAGGATCCTGCCGATTGCTTCCCGAATCACTTGGAAGTGCTTCCGTCTGAACACAAGCCAAGTCACATAGCTGCAGAAGTTGTAGAAGCCCTAAATGGAAAACACAGATCCCCTTTTCACTGGGAAGAGGCCCAGAGTCCCACTGCATCCCAGAGGGCAGGTTGGCGTGACTTCGCTAAAATTCCAGCAACCATTTGCCATCAAACTTTACTATGCATGCATCAGTGAAGATTTGAAAGGACTGGGGTTTTAAAGGTGTGCAGACAGATGAGGGTAGAAACAGAGTTAGCTCAGATGGATTTAATCTTGCTCAACTCTGGCCAATTTGGCTTAGTCTTGCTGCCAGAAACTAAGGAGATAACCTGAGATCTCCACCCAGTTTCTCTCAATAATCAATGGAAAGAGACTGACGGGATGAGTCATTCTGTGGGGGTTCCTACCACACACATCTGTCTCAAGATGCAACAATTCACCCTCTGGCTGAGCTTCTCTCTTCTGCAATAGCTGTCCAGACAGCCGAAGGGCATGGTCTGACTGGACAGCTATTGTTTGGGCAGCTTCAAGTAAACAAGATGATCCCCTCTCTGAATGACAGCATTATGATCACAGAAAATATTACTACCAAATATGAACTCATTGCATCTCACCTCCACATGTCTGCTCACTGATTAAAAAAATAAAATCTATCTTTTCACTCCTATTTAACGTTTGTGATCCCTGGCATAAGCTGAAACAACTCCCAATAAACTGAATCTCTACTAAGTCTGTTTTTGAAAAGATGGCATTGCTGGGACTGCTGTGTATCCTTGGAATTGAATCCACAGTTCCGCTCTTTCAAGGAAAGGCTTCCCAGTTTATGAAGTACAAAGTATAATTTGGGCCCAGCCGTTCTGTATTAATTTGCTGAAGGCCTGCCACACAGTGACTCTCATACATGGCTGATGGAACTGTATGCTGCAGGCCAGAAGAGCTTATTGGCATCGAGAAATGTCACCAAGGGCAATGGAGATGAAAGGAGGTTGTAACATTTCTTACCTACAGAGATGAAACTATGAGGCCAGCGATGAGAAGAAATCTATAGACCAGACTTCCCACAGGGACCTCAGGCTGTGGTGGGAACCGCCTGGGGTCTGAGAGCCACAGAGGGACTGAGACTCCCCAGCTGAGGGCTCCAAGGGGAAAAGGCTTGGGCTGAAGGGCAAAGAGATGGTATTTTATAGGGACATCTAGGCCCTAGAGGTAATTTTTTTTTTCTAGGAACTGTGCCCTACAAGTAAACTACTAGGGGAACCAAAAAGGAAAGGAACATTTGGAAGTGCAAGGGAGGGACATGGTCTGGGCTGACAGTCACACTCTCCATTTATCTTTGTGTCTTTCTTACTTCAAAGAAGCTCCGATCTTTTTGCAACGATGCTTTTCTCCTAAGGCAGTGAACGAGAGCACAAAATTAATAGCAGCGGTCGTCCTTTCAGTTCTCTGAACAGAGCATTGAATATGACTCATGAGGCTATGCCAAGCTGGCATTTCACCAGGGCAATAAAGTTGTTGCTGGTAGATCCTCATTACTAGCATGTGGAGACCCACTGTCCAAAAGAAAGGCAGGACTTCTGCATTGCCTCAGAAGGAGAAAACGCAAAATATTGTATGGCTTAGTTAATTAAATCTGACAGAGAACAAAGCTGGATGTGATGAGCGAACGAGGCTCCCCTGCTATGCTATCTAGACTGAGCTCTCTGCGTGGGCCTCTCAAAAGTGGTCAGCGCTGATCTAACCCAGTTCCCACTGAAGTCAGTAAAAAACTCTTCCTGACATCACTGGAAGAGAAACAAGCAGAGTTACCGAGGGCACAAAGCCAGGCCAATGCTGAGACGGTAAACGTGAAAACCAGAAAGGAGATGCCTGATGTATTTCCAAGAAGAAATGTAAAACATGCCCAAGAATGACAAAGGGCCTTTGTTGAAGAAGCAGCAATTTGCCCAGTGGAAGCCTGAGAGATGTTCTCGCCTCCCACTTGAGCCTGGGGATTCTCCCACAAAGCCAAATGCCTGTCCATCATGGAAACAGCCATCAAAGCAGAGGGTGATGCACACATCCTAACAGCCACTCAGTTCTCCTGGAGATGGCACAACTCACCCTCATGGAAATGGAAGCAAAATTTCCCTGATAGCCTACAGGTCCTCAGCTTGGTCCTGCCAGATGCACAGGAAAGCCTGTCCAAGCATCAGCTCACCAACTCCTGACATGTCCCTCATCTTCCTCATAACATCAAGTGTTCCACACATCTAGGGTATCCCCAGCTGCCATCAACCCAGAAACATCACTGCAGAGCAGACCATGAAGATAATACCTTTCAGCCCTATGGCTCTATTTACCATCTTCTGACTTATTTAATGATTTTTTGATCAAGAAGACCATGTATCTCCCTTCCTGGCTTCCACCAGCCGTAACCCTCCTGACACTTCACATATTGTGCAAGGGAAAAGAAGCTTGACTCTGCAAGTATGGCATGGCTGTTTGCCAAAGCAGAACTCCCAGAACAACTCTGATGCTTTTGATTCCTTATGAATTCTGGTAAAGCACAGTATTCACTCCTCAGAGTGCCAGAGTGGAGAAATCTAAAGTGACCCCAGCTCCTTAAACCTAAATGTGAAATCCAGCTTCACCTTTTAACATTATACAGCTCATGCAGTGCCTTAGAACTAGTCCCTAGTTTAGCAGAGAAGCCTACGTAAAGGCCAGCAACAGAAAATAAAGCTAATAATTAGAGTCAAATAAGGCCAGGGGTCTCCACCCTTCTTTCTTCCAGTGCTTTCTTCCCTCAGGTGAGGTATTAAGCTGAGAGACCTACTTGAAGTAAAGTTTCCTAGAACAAGTTTTGAATTAGGAGGCACCTCCCATGTCTAGGACCCAGTTGCTAATTACCTAGGAAAATACAGAAAAGGTCAGGAAAACATCAAACTTGACACAAGCTTCAGGAGAGGACTTGTAAGAAACATGAAAGAGTGAGCAAAAAGCATCATGCCTTCTAGTAGTATAGTAATAGTGATTTCTTCTCAGAGATGTGAGGGGGGCAGGATAAGTTCATGCATAAAAAAAGAGGACAGCACAGCCAAGGGCAGACAGTGCAGTAAGCGTGGGGTTTGGGATGTAAGATGACAGCGGCTTCAGACATCTACAAGAACTACTGTTGTGCACAGGGGCACGAGCGGAAGCATGTGCATGTGTGCCATTTAGCAGCTCCCTCCACCACAGCTGTGACTCCATTGCCCGTGGATCAAGCCAGCTTCAAGGATCAGTAAGGGCTGGCTCAACTCTGTTTGCGCCACTGATGCATGCACCTTGGGGAACACTCTGTATTTTCCCCATTATGACAAACGCCCATAAGGAAACTGGCAACACAAAAAGGTTGCACAATCCCCATCAACTTAAAAGGAGAAAGCCAGACACACCTATTCCTTCCTCGGCGTTGGAGGCACAAAAGGACTAATGCTAACACACGCAAATAACAGGTCTGGAGGAACTCTCTCAAATTCCAGACTGGGATAGTATTAAGATAGGATTTTAATGCTGCATTTTACAAATCATGTAAATCGTTAAGATGAAGATGTTCTCCACCTAAGCCACGCTTTTTAAAATTTCAGAGAAAACCTTTACATGAAAAATCAATAATTTCATATGAACACATAGACACTTGGCAGATCTGGAAGGGAAAGCAGTTTACCAACATAGTATAAGATTTCATTTAAATGTTGCTATGGTGAAGTAGAGTGAAAAGCAGAAGCTTCAACACTATCATGAACCCATAGGTGGGATACAAGAAAATATAGTAGGACTGGGAGTGGTACATAATCAATAGCTTCTCAGCTTTTTAATCTAAACATTTTTCAGGTTAAAAAAAAAAGTCATCAGAAGTAACCTTCCCCACAGTTTCCTTTTTGATGAAGGACCTTTCCCATCTGAAAACATATGTGCTCAAAAAATTCCTAACCATCTTTTATAATTAAGAGTGTTGATCAGTTCTGTCCCTTCGCTCTTGTATTTGGCAGTTCATATAATGGTGTGGGAGGATCCAGATAACATTTAAGGCTAAACTGAGTCAGCCTGGAAAAGATTATATTTGTTTCATTGCTGTATGGTATGGGAAGTGCCCTACATTATAACATGCTCAGCATTAGCCTAACTCTGAAGTCAGCTGTAGTCAGCTACCGCCACCCTGCTATGAGTGACTCAGTGAGGTCTCGCTTCACACGGCACCTTACACCATGAAGGCTTTAAGCCACAGCTCTTTTCTAGCTTTTGTGTTTTCCCAGCCTGGACACCAACATCCCAATCCACTGCCAGCCTCTAACCCCCACTGTGATGGAAATATTAAAGAACACAGTTTCTTGTTTCAGCTCTCTGCTCTCACTCCCATGCTGGTGGTTTTTTGCCACTAGACTTCTTTCTCGCCTCAACCCTGCCCATTCCCACCAGACAATACAAGTGAGTGAAGAGGCAGCAGAGATAACTAGCTGGGTATACCACAGGCTGTCTTATCCAGCTGCATCCAGTTCTTGGATTCAAGTTACTTTCTGCAAGAAGTTCCTCCAACTGAGTGTCATAAGTGCAGACATTAGGGCCACCCAACAGAAATAATGAAATGCTGTCGTGACCCTCCCTGTCCAACCAGCGAGAAGGTTAAGAGGATGCTCTGCTCAGCAGTAATCTGGGAGCAGGGATTTGGCACAGAAGGCTGCTCCCCAGACTGCCTGGTGAAATGCTGATGTGCCAGGATGTGGAGGGAACACATTCTTAATTCTCAGAGTCCAGCACCTTGTGGGATGGGGCACACTAAAACGAAAGCCCTGTTGGGACAGAAATTTCAGCTCCCCCTTGACTCCATCATTTCACAGGTTACCTTCTCCTCTCGCTTAGAAGGAAACCCAGGTTCCCACACCCCAGCCAGCAGCAAGGCTGCCCGGAGATGTGTTGCAGGAAGGCAGGCGAATGTTTGTGACTCCTCTGGGGGCCTGGAAGCAGTTTCACTCACTGAAAAAATGTGCCTGAAACTGCACTGAGAAGATCCCGTGGGAATGGGGTGCTGGGTGAGGACTGCCAGCTCCTTTCTACTGCCAGGAAAAGGAAACATTGTGCAGGAATATACACGGCTGAGGAAAGAGTCCCTAATACCAGCATGGTGTATAATCTCTCTGTTATTACATTCCTCTTCCACTAACAATTTTTTGTGGTGCTTAGTTGCTGGCCAGGGTTAAACCACAACACCTTCGTCCCCTGTTAAAACTCCCCTTTTCTTGTCCTCATCACTCACTTTGTTTCCCTGCTTTTCAAACACCCTCCCATCCTCTCCTGCCTTCTTCAGTTTCTTTTTTAATTCCCACTATGGGTTTCTCTCCCCTTTCAGTTCATCACTGGGACCATTGCATCTCAAGAGCAGTTGCTCTCCACCATTCTGAGAAAGCCAGGCACCGCCTTCCCTGCTCAGAGGTAGGAGTCCTACACTTCCAATGCCCAAGCACAACCTCTTCTTATCTCTTCACTTTGCTTGCTGCCCTTCAGGAATATGGTCTCCTTCACTTGCTAGACTAGTCTTATCTCAGGCTTGGCATAAGAGGAAATTTGTGCAGCGATCAGTGGCAGCCAGCAGGTACATAACCATTTGCTTTCAATATTTAGTTAAGTGGAAGTGGCAGGGATAAGATCCAGGGCTGACACTGATTTTTGCCCTGCTGACTTTAATATTTCCTGCTCCGCACATCTAGCAAGGCTTCCACATACCAGGGCTAGAGCTTTCCAGTCTGGTATCCAGAGCTCTGCTGCAACTCATTGTGGCCAAATCAGTTGGCGACAGCTCACCAGAAACACTTTTGGAGTTGGTTATGGGATGAGGTAGAGCTGCAGGGAGATCAGGACACTACTCTGTCTCATGGTCCCTTAGCCCTCTGTGACTCCTTGGCTCCTAAGACATTTATTACCCTGGGCATTCACTTGTGTCACTCAACAGAGGCCTTGGCCCTGGGCTGCTGTGACCCTTGACATAGCAAGAGCCTCCAGAAGGGACTGGCTTACTTTCCACTAGGCATGGGGTGCTGCTGTGCCATGCCTTGTCCAAGAATAAGGTTACAGTACACCTTGGCAAGGTGAATCCTGGTCGCCGCTAACTTCGCCAACACATCGTCCATTTCTTTCTTCTCCAAAAATATCATAGTCCTGTTTAAAACAAAAAGGGAAAAAAGTTCTCAGGGAAGGTGCTCTGGACAGAAGGGATGCTAGAAAGAGTGACTTTTCCTGGGAAGTAAGGGTGCTTTTTGGGCACATAAAACAACACGCTGCATGACACCATCATCAGGGGACCCCTCTGTCGCGAGGCTGGGTTCAGACGCTTCCAGCGCAGCTTGGCAATGCCAGTGGGGCCACAGGGCCTGGGGCTCAGGCCCAGACAGTCCCTCTTGCCCCCCACAACAGAACCTGCAAGCCCACAGCCCGCCAGATTGCCGTCTTTGATCCTGCATAGCTTATGAACCCTTTCTGCAACATGCATAAAAGCCCTGGAGGTGCATGTAGATATCTCCAGGTGCAGGCTCTGTCACCGGGCGGCCTGGAGCGGTGGGTCTGGCTCATTCAGAGACAGCACTTACTCCTCTTCAAAAGGGCACATGAAGTGCTTTTGGGACTGCCTCTGAACAGGAATGGCTGACACCACAAGCCTGTATTTTAAACCAATTCAGATCAAACACTAAGGAAATACCAAACCAAAGAGCTTTCTATTTCCTCTGCTTCCCTGTAATCCACCTGACTGTCTGCCGGTGCCTGGGAGCACTGCCGGCCTAAAAGTTACCAGCCTCTTTTCACGCTCAGGAGAGTTGGCTTTATCTGTCCTATCCCTGACGGCCTCCAGCTCTAAAGCTCCCTACACAACCCACCTTCAATAAATTAGGACAATTACTCTGGGCTGCTCAAGGATAATTGCTAATAAAACTCAGTAGATTTTCCTCAAAAGACATGAAAGGGTTGGAAGCAGAAAGAGAAAGAAACTAAAGAGGAAAGAAAATGCAGGACAGAAATAATAGCCCTTGTTCCGTTCATGTCTCATTCACCACTGCTGAGTTTTTGTTCTTAGAGTCACATATTTCAGAGGTGAATACTCCCAAGCTGTCTCCAGTGGGGGAATGCCTCATGCCCACTGCTTTGGAAAACTGGTCAGTTGTTTTTGAAGTTAGTTACAAGTTCTTCTTGAACCTAGAAAAAGCCAGAAAAGCCTCAGGTTTTGATTTACAAAGAATCAGCATGGCATCAACAAAAGACAGTCACAAGAAGTCAAATATGTCCAGATTCGTCCTGACTTTCTCTGACAGGAACCCCTTCCAATATTTTCTTTTTCAAAGGAAGTTTAATGCACAGAAGCAGCGACTTCTGAAGCCAGGATGGTCTTGGATGTTCTCTTGAGGCACTGTGGACACCAATACTTCTACACAGTCTAGGTTGAAGACAGCTGTGGAGCTATTCAGACCATCAGGCCTGGCTCCCTGTGGACAAAGGTAGATGCAACAGTTGAGTTAGGCATCTCTAATAGGCAGCCCAAATGGCAGTAACCCCAAAACACACCATCTAGGAGCAGGAATAACCAGCATTGTTTTCTGTGTTACTAGGTTATCACACAGGGCCTACAAGAAGAGCAGCTCAAGGACTGCACAGCCATTGGATGTGTCAGTCATATAGGAACACAAGGCTGATAAAGGACTAGGCGAGTCACCAAGCCCTGTCTCCAAGTAATTTGTCTGTCAGTTTAACTGGGAGCAAATTATAAGTATTACTAACAAGAAACATGAAATGGTACTGGCATGTCTTGCCTCCAGTCTGTCTCTACTTGTGGCACATAGCCAGTACTACATAGGAAAGCAAAAAAGCCTCTGAAACTAAATTATGTCTTGGAGGAAGGGGGAGGGAGTTTTCTTCCTGAGCAGGCCACTAGCAACAGCCCTGATCATGGGATTTATCTGGGGTAGCTATAGGAAAAGAAATGGCTATGCAGTCTTCTTTCACATTCTCTCAAATACGTCAGCATACCACAAACACAAGGATTCTTATCAAAAGTGTAATTTTATGTCATTATGATTCTATTATGTAGTTATAAAATCCCTTTCACAAGCTCAGAGAGCTCCACCTTCAGAAAAAGAGTGCCTTCCCCCACTACTTCCTAGTAGAAGACCATTTCAGAACTTCACTCCACAGGAGGTAAAAGACAGTCCTTGCTACATTTGATTTGCAATATAGCACATACCAAGTTCAGAATTAGATTAGGTGGATAATAGAGGAAATGGGAGGTCTTGAACAGGGAAACAAGATGCAATATCAGAAAGCTCTTCACGCCGTGATTAATATCTCCCTGGTCCTCCAAGTCAGCTAGGATGCTAAAACAATTAAGGATGAACTTCAACACTGAATAGGACCTAAAATTCCCTTTTGTCATTTTATTTTCATTCCTTGTATTTATGCTTCAGTGGATCAATATCCTGAGTTCCTGCTTCTGCATGGTAAGTGTCTCTTCTTTAAGCTTCTCTGATGTTAACACTGCATGCAGGTAATCCTGACAAGCAAGCCACTCCCTTTCAGGGGAGGTAATGAATCTAAATAAAACAGTATTGTAGAAGTGGAGAGTCAGTATATATTTCCTACGACTCACTTTGGGAGCACTGCAGTGTTGATCCAGTGCTTATAGCTGATACCTACTAACCACAGAGCCCCCTTGATCCAGGAAACATAACCCTGGATTGCAATAGGTCCAAACTCCTCATTGTTTCAGTCCATTTCTGTATTTGCCACAGCAGTAGATGACAGCTGATATGAGCCATATTAAGGTGTCACGACCCACGGAGTAGCCTCCTTATCCTTTACCAGCCAAAAGTGAGGGGATCATTTTGTAGATTGCAGCCCAGAGCACCTCAACTGATTCTACGACCTTTGTGCATGAAACTACACTGATAGTTTTCTTTATTTATGAATTATTCCTTGCACAATGAAAGAAACACCTGCCAATCTATGGTTGTAGAACAAATCAATTCCTTACAGCCAGCAATCCTCCAACAGTCTTTTCTTCAATCCAGATAAATCAGCTGCTCTTTATATCAAGGCTTCATGAATTGTGAACTAAAGAATCATTAAGTGTTTTAAGAAAATGACCAATCAATTCTCAGACTATTCTAGACTCCAGAAAATCATTGAATTTTCTTACAATCATGGTTTGTAACTCTGCAATGCTTTCTCCCAAGGCATACAACCCTCTAACACAGCAGCTCCTAAACTATTCCCCTGGCATCCCCACTTCCAGTCTGCAAAGTAGCAAGTGTGGTCACACACCCTCACTTGGGAACTGCTTTCTTAGCATATAATCCTCATGCTGTAACATGTTTCTAGCACCTGAGAGTCATGCCAAAGTATTTAGAAACGAAGTCTTAAAGCGATGTGTGACCACAGCACAAACTGAGACCCGGCAGACTCAGTTGCAACTCTTTGCTGCTCTGTATTGCTAACGATATTACTGGGAAATGGCATTAAGGGATGGTAATTCCATGCAGGGCACTCACATAGATTTATCACAGGTGGTAGTAGTAATGATTTATTCAAATTGCAGCGTTCCTTTGAAGAGGCAAATTATTTGCTGACCCCGTGGCAGGAGGACTGGATCCAGCTACCATCCTGAAAGGGAGATTACGGTGGTGCCATGCCACGTGAACAACAGTGCATGCCACTCAGGGCGAGGCTGGAGCAAAGCAGGGTTCAAACCCTCCCAGAAAATCTGTCTCTCTACATAGCCAGAGGAGCTATGTCCTGGAGAGCACAGAGGACATGGGGAGGGGAGACATAAATGGTGAGATCAAGAGTATCCCATACATAGACTGGGCTGGTATAGCAAACAGTCCTTGCTCATATGCAAAATCACGCTAATTCTTACGCAAAGGTCTGCCCTGTGATTCCAGATTTGCTGGGGCAAGCTTTGTGTGCTTACACCCCTAAAGTCTTGTACTCACAAATTCAAGGATCTGCATTTCTTTTCCAGGGCAATTTTTTCCAAGTAAAAAGATAAGTAGAAGAGCAGGGCCATGAAGAACTCATCTAGTTTCTCATTCCTAAATGGAAGGTAGAAAGGTCACTGTGAAGTCTGCACATTTGCAGAGACAGACACCACCAGACCATTATGAAAAAGAGCAAAGTCTCTGCTCAAGGGCCTGCATTATACCAAATATTTAGCTATGTGGTTGAGACATATCTGTAGCAAGCACTCCACCCCAGGCTTTGAGATAATTACTAACAGAGTCCGATCAACACACTGAGGAGTGGATTGAATTGGATATTACCAGACATATTTCCAAGAAGCATGTTTTCTGCACTGGACACATTGGAAGAGTGACATTCACATTCAAAGGAAAAGGGGGACAACTCGGACACCTCTTCCCTTCTGAAAGGACAGTACGGCTACGGACCAATGAGTTCTACAGATACATTCCTAAGTCAAAGGCCATGCAGCCAGTGTACAGCCCTGGTGATCTCAGGTATATGCCTCTGAGATATAAAGCTCTGCCTGCTGCCTCCTCGCTTTTAGCCTACGGGGAAGCAACGCTGATAAGTGACAGCAGCAAATAATGAGCCCTGTAGCACTGACGGGAACAGCAGCAGCACAGGCAGGCAGCCCAGGTTCCCAGTCGTGTTAGCACTCCTGGTGCATGCCGTGTAACAGATGGAATTTAACTTAGAGTAAAATGGATAACAACCTTCGGGTTTTTAGGCCCAAGTTCTTGGCTTCCTTTAGGTAACAGACTGGAAGGCTTTCAAACAGGTGATAGGATTATTCCTCTGCATATGTCGAGGACAACATGCATTTGGTATTTTTTCCCACTGAAACTCACAAATGAGAGATTTTAAACCTGTGATATTTCACAGTCTACTTCTCTTACACCCTAGTCCCTCCACTACCAGCTACACACATGTAATTCTCGAAACTCCAAATGACATACTTCATAACTGCTGCAAATGATACATGTGATGTGACTCATTTGATTATTTCAAAAGCAAAGCAGCATCTGAGAACATACAGAGGAGAAAAACAATAATTCCTCAAAAAAATTGGTAGTGTTAGTAGAAATAGCTTTCTAATCTGTTTGGGCGATGCCTTGCTGATACGAAATACCAGCAGTTACTCAGATTTGACATCATCCAATGTCACATATTCATGTTGTACCCACTTGGACAGCTTATGCAATTTTTCTTTGTCACCCAGCTGCTTTTCAGGGAGCGTTACACTGCAGTCATCTCGGAAGATGCTAGTGGTTGACCAAGACATAACATTTAAGGACACAGTGTCCATCTACCTGGTATGTACTCTCTTCATTGCACTCAATTTCAAAGGGACAGGCAGTGAAATGTGTTTGGCAGGTATCCTGAACTAACTTTCAACTATTATAACCACAAAACAGGCTGGGGATGTTGAGAGAAATAGGACATTTCACCTCTAAGGTTGTGTCTGAAGTTGCACTTTTAGTTGCTAATATAATAAATTGTGACTATATTATTTAGATCAAAGAGGTTTTAAGTAATGGATGAAAGCCAGCTATACCATGTTGTGAATTTATAAAATTAATAATAATAATAATAATGATACTTTAATCTTTGAAGTGCCTTACACAGATGAATTAATTACCACACAATACTCTTTAGGGTAGATGAGAATTATTACCTCGTTCTAAGTGATCTGGAAACAGCAACAAAGATGCTGAATGACTTTACCAAAGTCATACCAGGATAGTGCCTGAGCTAGCATTCAACACCAGACATGTCTGGCTCTGTTTTTATGTTCAGACCGCTCATCCACCCTGTTGAAATGACAGCTGGCTTCCTGTTTCACATGTTTTGTTCAGACATGATCCTCAGAGAGTGGAGGAAAATATTCCCACCCAGAAGATCTTGTTTCTTTTTGAGCTAGTCGAATTGAAATACCTCTTTAATGTCTTGACACGCATTTCCTGAAAGTGAATATTTTTCCTTCCTTAGGGTTTTCCTCAGCTGCTGGATTGGAGCTGAAACATAGAGAGTATGAGCATGCAGCGGTATGAGTTTAAATTACTAGCAGCAGTACAAAATGGTCAACATCCCACAGTGCAAAGGCATATCTATTTTGGCCTCTAACAGACACTAAGAACTCATCTGGGTTGTGGCGAGGTCAACGTGAGGCATTGCTTTCAACAACACAGAAGCAAAGAGTAAAGGGGCTTCACCAGGTCCTCCTGCTCTGTCTCCTGCCACCATACGCACTGCACCACATAAACCCTTCAAGCAATCAGTGTCTCAAGTGGCTTTAGGAAGATTTTAAAGCTGCTCCATCCCATTTTCTTTGGGACCGTTGAGGGCAGAGACAGGCAGAGGTCGCCAGGAAGCTCACACCTCTCCCTGGAGAGGTACCAGGCAGTGTCAGCAGTGCTCCCAGCCCCAGCGGAGAAGTTGGCTGGAGCTGCTGAGACACAGACCATGAAAGGCACCTGCAGTAGCCGTGTGACCAGGAGAGAGGTGACCAGCCTGGCTCTACCATGACAAAGGCTTGGAAAATGCCCAGCAGGGCAGGAGGCAGCAGTGTGTGACTGACCCACCACCGCCACTCTCCACTGTGATCCCTGCCCTGCAGCTGAGAAGAGAGCAGGGCAGATGTAGTTTGGGTGCTCAGGGTTTTTTTGCCCCCATGGTTTAAATGGCCTGATAAAGTCTTAATCCACAACTGCCACAGACATTCAAAGCACAGTTACGTGCACTTTGTCCCCTGCAGAGCTTTGGTTTCCCTAAAGGTCTGCAGTCCTCTGGTGCTCACCATTGCACAGGGTCATACGTAACACCGGCAACAGGGAACATCAGTCTGTGGACATCCAGCTACAGACACCTGGGGTGGCATTTGGCCCCTGCATCCAGCACTGCTGCTCCAGTGCGTGGTGCGCGTGTCTGACACATGGCAGGACTCGCCACACACTTTAGCTGTCCTGTAGTGGGTTCAGCTTGAGAGCAGTACAGAGTAAATGCATATTTCTGACTTTTTATTTTCTCCATTACCGTGATGCCACAGAGCAGCAGTTAAGAAGCTCCAGACTCAATTGGAAAAAAAAAAAAAACAAAAAAAAAACCCCAAAAAAAAACACAACCAAAAAACCCCCCTAAACCTGCATAATTTGAAACTAAACATCACTCTTTTACCTTGCAAATTCAAGTGTGTTAGTTTCATCTTTCCAGTATCACACCCCTGGAGTTAGTTTTATCATCTGCAAGAAAGAACATAGAAAGTATATGTCATAAATCTATGCTCAAGTTCTCAGCCCAACAAATAATTTATAATGCAAGCACTGTGCGTATGGACCACTTTCTATCTTTCTTCAGTCTGCTTCTCACCCAGATATTGTTTGTGTGTGAGTTACTTGAACAGACGTACTCTGAGAATAAAGGTTGCCAGCATAAGAAAGAAAAACATGTATCTGTCCTTCTTTATGTCTTTCAGGTTATGAATAAAGAACTGAAAGCTTGCTAAGGCACATCACTTTGATTGACAGTGAATCAAGACTGAGAAATCAAATGGAGCCATCCACTAAACTGCACATTGGTTTCATTTGGGTTTTTTAAATAATATTTACGTAATTGTAGAGACTAAGTATCAGGAGAAAGGAAACCTTTGTTTAAAAATATATTATGCACTTTCCTGATATTCTGAGAACTTTAAATAAACAGCAGATAGACCCTTCAGGGGACACTGGACAAAACTACTAGTAACAGCATTTTACAGTATCTATATATTTTTTTTAAAAATCCATTAAAAAAAAAAATCTCCTGGAAATAAATAAGATCTATTAGTTCTTTCTTAAATAACGTGAGAGGCTTGCAACTATTATTTGCAGGTCACCCTTAAAGCAAAATTACTCTTATTGCTAAAATCCATCTGCCTACAAATTTAAACCAGGTGAACCTTTAAGGCTTTCTGTGACTTTCTGCTAGGTACCATTCAGCCAGCCAGCCACAAGGCTCTCACAAATTCTTGCTCAATCTAATTTGGTAGTAGAGTGCTGGATATGGGACACCAGCATAATTTCACGTCAGCAGCCAGCAGTCCATGCGATGGTTTGACCACAGAGATGACTATTAGGAAACTGTGGCTCTAATCCTTTGACAAAAAGTGGTTATTTCAACTTGTCAGTTCAAGTCTTCAGTTCCAGCTTTCTAATTCTGGTTTACAACTCTTGGATGAAAAGGGCCATGCAAATGCTGTACCTTTATGTTACACACAAAGGATTATGAACCACGAAAGAAAAATAGAAAAGGTGGTAGTACGGAATAGCAAGGTCTACCAACACATCACAGGAAGGAGAAAATATCTCCTGTGTCTTCAAAACACATCTCAGCTGCTTCTCACTAGGACAGATGGCTGAATGACTGTCCCTGGCCACTGTGCTCCCTGGCTGGGTCAGTGGGACAGGTCCCTGCCCAGCCCTGCCCACCCCATGGGGCCTCCCTTGGCCCCAGGGATCTGCTGCGGAGGCAAATGTGAACAGCAGCAACAAGATGGAGCTGGGAGGGGTGGTGAGACTCACAGCCAGCATGGTGCTTGCCTGGGACACAGCCAGCAGCGAAGGGGTAAGGCAGCCACTGTTTACAGCAGTATCCTGGTGACAGTCTGCCATCCCCTAGGAACCACAGATCCCAGCACGTAAATCCCCCTGCAGCCTGCTCTGTGGACTGGGACGCAGCTTCCCTGGGTAACATTTTAGTGCAAACAGGGAAATTAAGTGCTTTCAATGCAATAACATCTCCACAGCCACTCATTTGGACTTAGCGTGGTTTTGATGGTCAGGAGCTGCAGAGGTTTCCCTGGTTACTGGCCCAGGACTGGCAGCAGTGAAGGCAGCTGCATTAGTCCCTCTGTTATTGGGCACTGATGTCTGTACAGTGCTCTGAACGTTAAACGTATTTTAGCTTGGGACTTTGCAAGATTTAAAAGTATATCAAACCGGTCACAAGTCTGTGACACGACCTAGGTCCCTGCACGAGCAATCATCAGCCTGAGCTTTGCAAGTTGCCCCTGGAAATAATTCCTGCACGGTAAGGCAGGTCGCTTAAGGGCATGATTCTGAGGGAGGGCTTTTGATCTTCGCAACATTGTGAAGCGTTTGTTTTTGCAAGCAGAGAACCTCTCGTAGTAGTCATTCACAGTGGATCAGTGCCATGTATAACTGGTACCGCCTCGATCACACCCAAAATTGGTACAAGTTATATTGACAAAAGCACTTTTTGCCAACAGAAGTCAAGTCCTCACGAAGGGCGAGGTTTCATGTTACAGCTAAGCAGCCTAAGAGTTGTTGATGGAAGAGGCATTCTTGCTCATATCACAGTTTTCCCATCATTTATCTTTGTGTTGATTCTTTATCTTCTCTGTCCCCACAGCAAGGCGGCCCCCTAAACTGTCAAAAATTGTAATCCAGTAAAAGTAAATGAGAAGCTTTCTGTTGAGTTAGCATTTTACATCAGTTCATGGTGGAGTCAGAGAAGGGCCAGCAGAGATGCAGATAAATGTAAGGCGACAGGGGGAAGACCATTGGTCTCAATAGATCAAGTCAGCTATAAGGTGAAAACCAGCCACAATCTAGGAAACTTTTGCTACTACAGCTGCACTAGGCCAGTATGTACTTTGAAGAGGTGAAAAACCCTGACCTAAGACTTTTAGACAGGTCAGTTCAGTAAGACAGAAGGAACATTTCCTGTGCTTTCAGCTCTTAAAGATGACACGTTCATTTTTGCAGTAGTTTCTAACTAGGGAAAACACTCTTGAAAGCACCACTGGGATGATCATGACCACATGGAAGAACAAATGAACAATACAATATGGGAAAGAAAATTTCCATTAAACAGCCTGTCCCTAACTTTTCCTCATTTCCATAGCCTTCCAAACACTGCATCTTTTCTCATGTTGTACTCTTTAAAGGTTTATCCATGCAAACGCAATCAGTTCATGGATATCTAAGCAAGAATCTCAAATCAGCCTGAAAATTCAGCTCTGGATCTGTTGTCTACAGCCGTCTCTTTTCTTTTTATTTTTTTTTTTTTTGACAATCGTATTGTGTATGTTGTGTTTCCAGTTGCTATTGCAGGCTGCCAAGTGCATAGCCATGACTTGGCAGCCAAGTTACATATTTAAGAGGATGAGAGAAGCAGGTTCATCCACAGCAGCCAGGCAGCACTATAGAAATAGGCTCCCCATCGGGGAAAGGGGGAGGTATGGAACTGATGGCTCATCAACTCATTTTTATAGAGCAGGGCTGTCATCAGCCTCAGGAGACCATCATCCGATCTTGGCTCCAGTAAAAGTCATGCCAAAAGAACTGGCAAAAGTGAAGGATGTGTTGCAGATACTCAGGGGTACCTGTGTTAGCGTTCGCAGTGCAGGAGGCAGGGGGGACAAGCCTTCGGCTGTACTAGAGTTGGGAGAAAATTGGCACAAAAAGCACAGATGAAAGATGGGAAGAAACTTAAGACTGAGAACTACCTACAGGGAGAACAACTGTGAACGTAAAGACAGGCACTGAGAGCTAAAGACAGAGCTGGCTAGGCAGGCAGGGACAGCCTCAGAATCAGTGCAGCAAACAGGTGAACTAGGGGAAAATTAAGAAAAATCCAGAAGGGATTTGTGGAGTGGGACAGAATTGGCTGTGGTCCAGCACAGGGGCCAGGACAGAAAATGCTGTTAAGGGGAACCCTGAGACTGACTGTGTTACCAGGGTAGGAGGCTTGGGATACTCAGATGCGGCACTGTACTGCCCTTAACCAAGTGCTTGCTGGAGGAGATCAGTTCAGCCCAAGTATTTCACGAGCTAAGGCTGCAGAGGTGAGCACCAAACATCCCACCTGTGCTGACAGCCCAAATGGGTACCAGTCAGGAAAAAAAAATTAAAAGCCTGGCATTGTGTAGCAAAGGAGATTAGTGCCTGTTGGATCCCTGCTTCAGCTGTTGCAAGGGTCGGAAGCTGTAAAATGAGTGAGCCAGAAGATTACAAGAAGTTAAATTAAGGGGTAATGGTTGAAGCAGTTGAAGGCTACGTGGGAAACTGATTTCCACATGGGCTTCAGTCACAGAATGCCAGGCAAATTACTCCAACCCGCATTCAACCCTAATGACCATTATTTGCATGCTCTCTTCTTTCTGAGCAAATGGCCTGGCTTCATGGCAGTCTGAAATGCAGGACTCAGTGCCCACAGCTGTGACCGAAGCCGACAGGAACACCACTTTGAACAGTCCAAGAGGTGCATAATACTGAGCTGTCCGAAAAAAGAGCTCCTTGGCATTTCCAGTGGAAGCCCCATAATAGACAGATGGTGTTTGGCTTTTGCCAATTTGTTTTATCACCTTCTTTCTGTGTGGATTCTGTGGGAATTATACACATCTCAGGGCTGAAAACTAAATGGATAATGTTGTGAAGCACTCAAGATTTGTTGCTGATGAGCTCCGCAGGCACCATCCTAAGTGATAATTCTTCTCCAGAGCTGGGGGTGGACAGCACACAGTAAATAAGGTGTATATTGAACTTGGAAATACTACTTTCTTAGAGCATACGCTGCCCATCATGCGCATCAACTGAGGCAGGCGTCCTACAGAAGAAAAAAATTTAAAAAAACCTGTTACTGTGTAATTAAAAATTGGTTTTGAGGCATAAGCAGAAAGAAAGCAAGAAATAGGCTTGCTCTGATCATCATAATACTGAACAACTGACCTTGCAGCCTTAATAAGCTTCTTTTAATGTTGTTTCTTGTGGTGTTTGTGTGTTCATGCGCGTCCCAGTAGCTGGGAACACTCAACAGTATGTATATGTATCCATTCTTTAGGTATATCTAATGTTTAATTTGGATATCACACCCAGAAAATAAACACATGCATAAACTCCACAAAAATATCACTGACTCACCATCCAGCCATTCACCTCTTCTCTGCCTCTTGTTTCTTCTTGCTGTGTCAAGTCTCTGCCTTCCATACCCACCGTATTAATTTCCTCCTCGTTTCCCAGGGGCAGTTAAATGTTATCCCTGGTTTCTCTGGGAAGATTAGACTCTGTGTGTTCACACTACTGTTTGCATTAGACACACAAGTACAGAATTCAATTTCACAGTAGCTAATACTTGGTCCATGACTACGCCATGACTACTACCTGCCAAGTGCTTCTGTCTGCTCATTAAAAACAGGATCGTGCTATATGGATGGAATAAATAATGTCCTTAGGCGTAACACTATGAACACTGGTGTGGCTTTTCACTTTAGATTTGTGCAAAACTGAAGCTCCTAATTCCTTGTTTTCAGCAATTGGCGCTGTTTCCACATATCAACACTGCCGCATTTCAGTCCCGTTCCTTGGATCATGCAAAGCAAAGGGTTGTGAGACAGCTGCACTGCAACTTCTGGAGAGATACCGTGTCCACCTCGTGTCCTCATCTTCCTGGGACACCAGCACCAGCCTTGCCCCACATTCAGAGCCCTGTGGCCTGGCTGCCTGCTGCATTCAGTGGCAACTGTATCCACAGAGGCAAACTGACTAAAGGTGTTTGATAGGCAAAGGCAGAATTAGCTACTGAGTCGAGACCAAAGGTCCAATGGAAATCAGGAGGCAATAATTGCCTAAGCGGTGGCTTACCGGAACGCAGAAAAACCAGCCAGAAAAACCAGCTGCACATTCTTTTACTGAAATCCTCATGCAATTACTCCCTCTGCGTGGTTTTATCAGATGAGATTATTGAACATCAGCAGTTGTCAGCTATTTTCATGCAGCTAGGCATTTGCCTTGTGCTCCTAACAATCAACCTTTTGTTATTAACATGTCTCTAACAGAAGGGAAGAAGTATTTAAATGTACTCAATTGTATTTTCAAAATTTTGATTTTGATTCTGTATTCTGAGGTGCTCAGAAATCTGTGTAGCTTAACAAAAATGTCATAACCTAGTTTCTATTTCTTCTGTAGGATATAATAACTATCTCCCTGATATAGAATTAGGAAAAAAAGTGAAAATGTACTATAGACAAGATCTCCTCTATTCAATTATCTGAGCTTTGAAGGTAATTATTGCAGAGAACTTTACTTTTAGTTTTTAGTTTATCACAGAGGCTTTTTAGCTTCTTAGAATTTTTAGTTTAGCCATCTTCCACCCATAGCACTGGGGATAGGACTAAGGACTCGCCAGCATCAGTTGCCTTTAACCAGGCCGTGTTAGTACGCTTGCAAACATGTGAATGAGGTCTGCAGCAACAAGGAGTATGCCAAATGAGAAATAAATGTTGTTTTGAAAGAAATATGTACGTTTTTAGACACAGCCTGGCAAAAAGAAATGCTGCTTTCAGCTACGACATGTGATCGCTAGACTGCCAGTTCAACTGTGCAACAGCTCTTACAGGGATTGATAGAAAATATTTCACGATGCTTGCCAGTAAATAGCAGAGCAGCCAAGATCCCTAAACCCACGAGGTTTTCTATAGAGTCCTGCCTGAAATACATAGCATTGGCACTTCTGGAAGTGTTTTTGTCTCCTTAATCCTATTCAAAACATATTTTAAACTGCTGACCTGCAATCATTTGGAGCAGTGACATTGTGATCTGCTCCCACGGGTAGAGTACAGGTGCTGCTAACTGCTACCCAAGCACGAGCA